TCGCACTTTCGCATGATGGCATTGAATTTAATCCCTTGATATCTAAGTGCGTGAAGGTAGATACCACGGCATGTGGCTTAACACACGACGTTTACTTTACGGCAAAATTAATTCCAATTGAAATGCGTTCGGTGTGTGTTTTTTTTTTAATTCAATCAAAATGTGGCAAAAACTTGTGTATCTTCGGCTGTACGATTGAAAAAGTGTTCAGTACATGAATCAGGATATCGTTTCTCATTTCATCGCATCAATTTCCATGGTGGCGCATTTGTGGTGGCGGTGACGGTGATGCTGGTGAATTCATGAGCAACGATAAATCTTCGTGTATTTCGTTTCTTCAAGTGAAACATATATCATCGTCAAAGTATTGGATTAAATTCAATAGAAGAAGATGAAGAAGAAACACACACATACACACGAACGAAACGATGAGCACAACACACTGGGATAACTTTGATACCGAACTTTGACTCAAAATATAGTCGAGTTTTCAAACGAAAACGCATTCTCGCCAACGTCATTTCAAACTCTAGCTAAAGGAATAGTTTTCGAGCTTAACTCAGCGTTTGTGTGTGTGCTGCTCTGTTGGTGCGCTTTTCATAGTTATATTTGCTTTGAACAAAACTTATTCTATCGCTGGTATTTAGAGAACGTTCTCCTGGCGATTCAGTTTCGGAGTGCATAGTGTACGTTATCTACGTTTGCTAAGGGATTTGGTATGTGACTTTGGCATACTTTTTACCATGCACAGTGCACACACAAACACACACACAGTGATGCTTGCACACACACACAGAGACATAAACGACGAAAAACAGAGTAGTGTCAACTTTATTTCAACGATTTTCAAATAGAAAAGTGTGTACGTGTTGTATTGTTTTCCCATTCGATGCACATACAAATTCAATGCTCTTAAGATAAATTGATATTCTATTTCTTTCGGTATTGTTTTTCGATAGTTGTTTTCGAAAACGGATTTCATTCGATTTATACTGGATTTGACAAAGACTTTTCCATTTGTTTTTCGGTTTTTTCATTGTTTTGACTCTCTCTCTCTCTCTGTTTCTCTCTTTTATGCCAAATGAATGCATTCTAGGAATGTATGGAAGTCAAAAGCAATTTGGTGGATTTGTGAAATATTTTCCCTTTTTCGATTAGTTGCGCAACTGATCAAAGTGAATTCAAACCGAATGGATTGTTGAGGTGATGAAAGATGAATGGCTTTCCACTTCTGTTTCTCTACTTGTATATATATATAAATAAGATAATCATTGTGAAGGAGCTGAGGAAATGTTTTGACTTGAATGGATTCACATAAACATTCGAAACGACAATGGAATGATGGGAGAACAAAAGACGTGGAGAGGGAGGTGGTCGAAGGTCAGAGGTAAATATAATAAAAGGTAATGATAATAATTTTAACCAATATTCACTGGTTGTCCAATGTCCATCAATACAATCACAATCACAATCAAGGGAAGTGACCGTCATTATGATGATATCAATACAGTGTAATCATAACCATTATCGTTAGTCATATCTGTGTACCAACCGCCTCTTAACCGGTTCCGATACACTCTCCGGAATGTTCCGGAACGTGAAAACAATGTAAAACAGCTGCATTTATTGCACATTTCCTTTTTCTTTGTTGATGTTGAACAACACATTATTCAGTCATAAATCGATGGATAGCTCTCACTCGCTTTCACAAGCCGTCAATTTAGTCCCATCATTGTATTCTCTTTCTCTACTCCAACTATTTGCATCTCTGCAAAATATCCATTATTCAAAGCTGTAATAGTTTCTAGTCTGAATCGTTCAAAGCCATACCCTTTGCACATGCAATCCATTTTTGGTGCATGTCATTTTCGAATATCAGTCGTCCCATTTCTTCTGCACTTCAATTCGTTCACCATATACACGTAAACGTGCGATAATTGTGTGCTCATTTTCAAATAACAGTGCAACATATATACATTCATTTGTTAACGTTGAAGGTGTTCTGGCAGAGACAGCGTCTATCACACATTAAATATTGATTGAATTTTCATGCCGCTCTACTTCAAACTATATCACTCAAACTGAATGACACAATCTATAGCGTTCGTTTGTTCGTATGTTTGAAGTGAGTAAGTGAGAGGGAATGAGCGTGTACACGGCAGCTCTTCAGGGCCCGACCTTTTCCACATGTGTGTGTTGCGAAAAATGACGACGACGACGACAAAAGCATAATTCAATGAAGTCATACATGCCAAACAATTCCATAAATGACACGAAAAGTAAGTAATTTCGAAAAAACATTCATAATAAAAATGGAAATCAGATGGAACGTCATTTAGTGTGTGTTTATGTATATATGAGTATATTGGTTGAATGAGCCGAGAGCTATTCCCCATTTTCGGGTTATTGTTTGAGCCACTAATGGCTTCTACTGACGTGAAATTGCAAAATCGCTTTGTTAACATATGTATGTTTTATTAAAATTCCGCAAACAATGTGTTCGGAATTACGTGAATGATTATTTTTGGATGAAATGTAACGGCTTTTAAGCTATGGCGTGGAATAGCGAGCGAGTGAACTGGTAACGTATTCGCAATTCCATACGGGAAACATAGAAAAAAATAACAGAAATATACTGATGGCGAATAACTATGGCTAGATATTGGTATAATCGATTATTATGATAGAGCCGAATGTGTGTAATACAACCGCATTAGCATATAAATATATTCTTGTTGTTACACAATTGCCATCGTTGTCGTCGTCGTCATTGTTGCTTGCACCGGTGTGTAAGTTTTTTTCCCTCCATATTCGGATGAGAATATGGTTTTTCGGGCGAGAGGATGGGGTTTATGACATTGTTTCGGCACGCAAATCGTCAAATATGACTAGCTTCACGAGCTGCAGCAATCACAGGTAATCATAATTTGAGGTGTCATGCCAGCAGCATTTATTAGAACTGGGTTAGTCTCGAAAAATGGAAGCGCACACATAAAAAACACATACACGAGAAACACACATACACAAAGAGAACAAAAAAAGGGATTTAGACACAATTCAGTTAGGTTTCGTGGGCCGACTGCCAATTATGTATAACATTTAGCCTCAATAGCAACCGTTACGGGACGCGCATAATCATATTTCATGTTCAGCACCGAATCGAACATTTGATCGCTTTTGGAAATGAATAACAAGCTGCTGCTGCTGCTGCTGTGCAAAGGTGCTCAAGTTCACATTGAAAATAGGATTCATTAAAAATTGGCCAATGAATAATTGTGTTTGCTTTCATTGTTGCAAAATTTGTAAATCCGTCCGAAGGTACACGGACTGATTTGGCAACCCGTTTATGGGAGAAACGCACAATATATTGATGGAATATCGTTGTTTTGGGGTCGGAATTTTTATAACAAAAGAAAACCCATCATTTTCGAAAGGGAGCTTAATCACAATAGCAAATAATGACATGTAGAATCGCAGAAAAGTTGGAATTCGAAATGAAGTTGCCAAAACAAAGTTTTTAGTCTTTTTATTTTTCATATTTACCACTCTCACACACACATAAAACATACAGACATACCCAAATACTAATATTTCGGATGGGAAAGGAAAAATATCGAAACTTGATAGCTGCATGAAAATGACAATGTCGAGTCAAATATTAATAGCGCCACAAAGCGAACTAGTCGAAATCGATATGAAAGACTCTTGCTTTCTGTTTTTTTTTTCATACGGAAAATTTGAATAATAAATGAGCAAAAAGCTCAATCGAAAAGGATTGCTTCTATGATTTCTTTTTATCAATTATTCACGAAATATTGAAACATGGTTACAAACAGTGATTGACGCTGATACAATGAGAAAAAATCCAATGTAGAAAATATCTACATTTGCCGACTCAAAAATCACCACCGAATTTATTGGTTTATTTGAACAATATGTGTGTCTATTTAGTGTATTTGGAGGTTTTAATATACACATCAAAAACATCAAATGGTTTCGATTGACGAATCATTAGTTTTACCCTGTTGTATGTGTGTGTGTCATTTGAGGTGGAATCAATATTTCAAAATTTCGTGAGAATTTAATTATGTACGTGTACAATGGTTTGGTGTGCACAAAGAGACGAATTGAGCATACACATTATTGAAGGTTGAAAAGCAAACAAATAAACAACCAGAGTGATTGCGTGGTAATCGATTTTGATGTTTGTACTTATGCTTGAGTGAATGAATGAATGAATGAATGGATCGGTCGTTGTTATTTTCTCCGGCGACATTTTCCGTACCCAAGAATATCCAGACGGAAAACAGGCAAAATGGCGAAAGCACAATATATGGTAGATGTAATATGCATGAAAGCACATATATCGTAATTATAGATTAAATTCCAATATCAAATCATCATTTCACACTTGAGTGTTAATTAAATTTCGGATGGGTGAAATTTCTTCGTATGTGTGTCTATCTATCTATCTATCTACATAGTAACATAGAGACGATGGAATGCTGTTGGTGGTGGTTTCGGGCAATGCAGACAATAAATCTTATTATGTGATTCTGCTGAATCGGTTGTTTTGACAAAAATTACGCCAACAATAATGGGTGGCATAGACGCAAGGTGGATCGAACACGGAACGATGGGCGAAATTGAGTAATACTCACACACTCACACGCAAATGCATACATTCATCCCTCTCTCCCTTTCTCTGGAAGAAAATGAGCTTTGAGAGCTCGAAGTCATGTTGAACGATTAAGGTGTATTAACTCTGACAATCACATACAAATGAATGTATAGGCATGACAAGAGCAAACGAGTGAGCGCGTGCTCACGCATCTCCTAAACACACCTCTAAGATGTAGTCCTTTCGAATTTCGTAAAAGCCAATTTGTCATTGTGTGCTTGTTATACTAGTGAGAGCATTTACCCGTAAGCTAGTTTCAATTGCTGACAAATGAGTAGATTTGAATTTTATGCCACACCAAATAAATGTACATTTTCACCTGCTTCTAAGCTCCTTTGCTCTCTTTCTCTCTTTCCCGTTTCGATTTCGCAAATCAGCTGTGCTGGGATGTTGTTTTGTGTATGCTTTTTCACCTTCTTCACACCACCGTTGTCGCAATGGTGTTGTTGTTCAATTTATGCTGTCAACGATGATGCCTGTCTAATCTGCAATGAAATAAACATGTACACCCAAAAGCATTAGAGCGTTGCGATTCAAATAATAACGATAAATATATACATTTTATATAGGAAAATACACGGCTGAATGAGAGAGTATAGAGTAAGATCTAATGCAAACACAATTTAGATAATTAGCAAAGTACTGAGAGTTCAGGTGTAGCCAAGAAAACGTTAAAGTTCCATAGCATACACCGCCTGGTTGGTGTGTATGTGTGTTATTGTTTCTTCGGTTTGAGGTGAGGATATGCCGTATGCTTCAGTGTGTACGTATGGATAGATATGCTGCAGTCAAACATTTATTATGTGTGTTCGGTTTTGCAAATGATAGCATTATGATTTATACGTCTGGATTTGAAGCGGCGTTGATTTTTGCTGAGCTTTAATACATACCAAATACACGTATACAATATTAAATTTGGGTTTGTTGTTTGGAATAGAAGGTAAAATATGAGTGTGTGTGTGGTTTGTTCATGTAACGCGCACATGGGAGAACATCACTTCAGCAATGGGCAACGAGCAACCATCTAACTAACAATCACACCAAGCATTTCTGACATAAAGCGACTAATTTCCAAACATACACACAACTTTGTCGGATTTTATGAGATCTTCGTCGAGTCATGAGTCTCGGGCCGACAGGCAGGCAGGCAGGTGAGATGCGGCGAAAAATGAATTATAGCACTGATTAATTACATTTGAATTGTTTGAGGTGTGGTTATGAAACTTTCAATCTTTTAGCTCGGTCTCTCTCTCTCTCTCTTCCGTTTCACTCGTTTTTTTTGTTTGTCGACACTCAGTGCTCTGCTCACTCGCATTTTCCCATTCTCATTCTCTCTCCTTCTCCCTCTCCCTCTCTGTATCTTCAACTGTTCACTTCACTCCAACCAAAGAAAATCCATTACATGCAACATTCAAACGGACAAGTTTTTGATGCTGTTTGTCTCTGATTTTCCGTCGAAACAAATACACATATTTTACTGCTTTCTAAACTTATAACATAAAGTTTTTCCGGAGTTTGTTTAAACTTGAATCCGACCCGCAAAATGTAATCGTTGAGCTATATTTTACGACCCGAAAAGACAGTGATGATTGTGGTTATTCGAATTTCATTCCGGCGGGCAGAAGAGATGGCTTTGAACAACAATTCATATTTTTTTTAAAGTAAAATCAATGTTTTCCGCAATTTATATTAATCTATGCAGTTTTTTTTTGTTGGATCAGAGTAAAACATTTTGGGAATCGTCAGCCTAGATCGAGCTACAAAATCATGGTCTAGATAAGTTCATTAGGTTTTGTAATTAAATTCAGTGTTGGAAACAACATTTCAGTTGAGCCCCCATTCGGCGGTGTGCTGATTACCGCCATTCAATTTGAATCGGATTGAATCTACACACGGAATCTAATTTAATTTAATTAATTGACAAATATGCATTATTGACCACTTCATTTTCATTTTATTTGAGTGTATAAATGTGTATGGATGCCACCATTACTACAACTGTTGATGACGATACTGCTGTTGTTATTGTTGCTTCAAATGATTTTGTGTGTATTTGCTTAATGAGCGCACACGGATGGTGCACTTTGATTATATCGCTTTCATAATGGCACACAAAATTAAATTGTTGTTCCTGCCACTTCCCTCACCGCCAGCCACCATTACTTGCACAAAACAATACATGTGTACAGAAATGTGTTTCTGATTCGTAAATATTTCAATTAGAATATGCAATGTTTTAATATTTGGTCAACTATTCCAAAATGATGATAACAATTGCAATCGTTTTTCTAGCAACAAAAACGGGGCAGTTTTGTTGTTTTGATGTTTTGTAATAGAGAGCGATACAAAGCAATACACAGTGCATAATTTCACACATAGATATTTCTTCATTATTAATTAAACCGGATTACGTAGTTTCGTTAAATTTGGTAATTTGCTGTGCAGTAAATTAAGCGAAACTTGCGATATTGCGAAATGAAATCATTTGAAAATTTTCATTTCGGGATTCCGACGCAAATCGCTGCCGAAGGCACACTGTGAAAAAATGCAGTGTGTTTTAATACCTGTGTGAGCAAAGGAAGGAAGATTTTTTTTATTCTGCCGTTGTTGTTACAGCAACATATTGCATGTCTTCTATCAAAATTCTCTGAATGGAATTTTCGACCTCTTCATTAACTTCGGAACCAAATACCGAAAATAAGTACAGATTCCAATGGATAACGTTAATGTTTAATTGAATTCACTGTACTGTGCGGTTGCATGCGTAATGATGCATGAATAAATAATTTCATTTCATTAAATATCTCGTTCGAAGCAACAACGCCATCCACGCACGCGTATACATCTGAATACGATACTCACATTGTAGACACATCTGCATCATTATTTTCATCGCAACACCAAATTTTCATTGTACGCCAAACACCATGCAGAAATCGATGTGAATACCTGGCATTCAATTTCCAATGGTACATTGATCCGATTTTCTCTCGGAATTGATGAAAAGTCTCTGATTTTGACGTTTTCACATTGTAACCAAACCAGAGACTATGTGTGAAAAAAGGTCTAGTGCTATACCACATGCAGTCGAAAAATACCTTTAATTATTTTGATATGTGATGAAAATGGGTCATCAACACATTTTAAATTCACAAATGATTTTCATAATTGCATATTGAAAAGCCATTAGATCAAATAGTCGAAACACACACACACACACACACACAGAGAGAGAGAGAGAGAGAGAGAGAGAGAAAACCATTAGTTTTTATGGCATTTAAGCCAAGCAAAAGAACGTTTAGATTTTTACCTCAAAACAATAAATTAGAGTACATTCACCATATAATGAAATGTATTTGAATTCTCTCCACACCATGTATAAAACATTTCGACACTTTTGTCGAAATGGAACGGACCAAAGCGATTTTCAGTCGCGGTGAAATTCGGTTGAGTTCGGTTCGTTTTGGTTTGGTTTGGTTTGGCTCTTTCCAATGTCGAAACGAAGGCATTTACCGTGATTTACTCGCATGCCAATGACTACATATTTTTATGCCTTTTTGGTTTGGCTTTGTTTCGACTGACACCCCATTGTTTGATAGCGTGATAGGTCATTACATATTCTTTCCTATGCTATTCGTACGATGTTTGTGCTGATTTTCCACTCTCTGCTCCTTTATCTCGTTCTCGGCGCCCTCGTCGAAAGCAATAACTTTATTGATCAAGTTGAATGGTGGCCATCGACGAAATACCATTGCATTTAAAACATTGCTCTCTGGTGTAAAATCATTTCGAATCAATGCAAAGCCATGAATTGGTTGGCCATTTGAGGTGCACCTCAACCGAATACTTTAAATGGTATCGAGACGATCGATGCTCCAAACTCTGTTTTGTATCTGGATTAAACTATCGATGATTATCGTAAAACTATGTGGATTTGGCTATCGGGTCCTTGCAAACACACCATCGTATTAAAGAAAAAATAATTTCATGCTTAATATGCTTTTTTAGTACGATAGTAAAATTGACCTATTCACAGTGTGGACTCTATACGAATATAGTGAATGTATGCACTGCGATTAGTTCATGACATACAAACACTGTGTATATGCGATGTGAAAATGAGATTTTGATTAAAAAAATCATCTTTTCTATGAAGACCCATTCACGCTATAATACAACAATAGATTCAACACGAAAAGACCATAAGCTAGTGCTTCGACCGATTCCAAAGTGTATATGGATGCGAAGTAGATTTTTATGTGTAATCCGTAATGAGTCTTCGGGGACAAATTTTATAGGCTATGCCTGGGATCTATTTTGCATAATTATTCAATATGAATACTTCCACATCGTCCAGCCATGCGTAGAAAATAATATGCATGGTGTTGGATTTGGCTTATACATAGATAGCATCTCTCACACACCAAGTATATGCACGAGACGCAAGGCAATATATTCGTCGGTTAAATGCACGTTGTCGCTTTCAAGAAATATTCTATTCGCTTTTTCGCTCGTTCTATATCTCCCTTCACTTTCTCTCTGAGTTGATTCCTGGGGAAGGAAAATTACGCAGCCAACCATATTCGCCTCAACCCACTCTCTGCAGCCCATTCAAATAAACTACATTTTAATAGTACATCCGGGGATTAATATTTTTTTACTGTGTGCGAGTTGAGTTGAGTGTAATTTTCAATAGGTTTTTAAATCAAGCCACTTAATTTGATAGTTTTCTGTGTGTGTGTGTGTGTGTGTGTGCGCGCGTAAACTCACCAAAAAAGGGTTCGGCATACCGGAAATTTTTCCAAAAGCGATTGCTTGCCTTAAATACCCTCATTAACATTTAATTTAACGCATTTAACGTGCGAATTCGACATTAAGTACGTATTTATTGGTACAAATGTAAATTATTCAGGTGTATCCACAAATGCATGTTTGCCGAAAATTGATATGCAACACCAGCAGTTGGCAACGCGTGTTTCACATTCGCGTTTCATTCGCACATATCGTATATATTCACATTGGAAATGGCAAATAATAATCATACCGCACACCCACCATGTACACCAATTAAAATGAGAACGGGAAAATATTCTTGTCATTTTATGTTGATTTTAACATCAGAATTTGGTCATAATTTACCATTTGCTATTGATTTTGAATACCAATTCGGTGTAAATGTACGAGATTCGCATGCAAATAACGGAAATATCATTGTGAAAGTGACGGCTGTGGTAGAGGGTGCAAAATGTCAAATGAATATATCAGAAGCACATCGAAATTATTGGCATATCGAATGATTTTATAATTAGATTTTCTGTAAATAATTCAACGTTCAAGCAAAGCGTCAGCTATTAAGTGCAAACCACTTCAACCGACTGAACATTTTGCAACCACTCCAGCGATATATAGCCACATCAATTAACTAATTAACAACAATAACAACAACAAGAAAAATGGGGATTTCGTCGATGAAAATTCCTTCTGC